CCGTTCAATAAAACCCGCAGGTTTGACGCTGTTCACGTGTCTGCGGCGCTGGCGGTGGTGCCGCGGCTGCTGGGGGACGCGGTGGAGCGCGGGTCTGGGCTGGAGCCCGGCAGGAGGGAGCAGCCAGAGCAGATTCTGACGCGGCTGCAGGTGCGTGTGAGGGATTGTGGGCGAGAGTGGGAGAGAATGTGTGTGTGTGTGTGTATGCGCGCGTGTGTGTGTGTGTGTGTGTGTATGCGCTGTGTTTGTGTACGAGCGTCTGCGAGTGATTGTAAGCTCACATTTAAGCTCTCGCCACCGCGACGCTCAGGCAGCTGCGGCCCGGGGCACGGGCCCGCCCAAGTAAGCTGCGTCGGGCCAGCGGGCGCGTCGGCGGATCGCGGCCGCGCCGGCGCCGTCCTGCGGTTGCGGCTGCGCCCGGCACCCACAACCAGGTGTCTCGCGGCTCAAGCTGCGCACAGGGCAGCGCCCTCACGCCCCTTGTCCGCCGCCCAAGCCAACGCCGCGCCGCCGCCGCCGCCGCCGCCCGCCCGCCGTCCCGCCGCCTCTCAGGAGATGGCCACGGCCCAGACAGAGCGCATGCAGGTCCGCCAGATCTCCAACATGATCTGGTCCCTCGGGAAGTGCCACAAGCTGACCGGCGGCCGCGACGAGGCCGGCCCCGGCCGCGCGCTCGCGCGGCGCCTGCTCGCTGAGCTGGCGCGCGGCAACCACCGGAAGCTGCACCAGGGGGGGCGCCTGACGGACGCGGCGCAGCTGCTCCACGGCCTCGCGCGGCTGCGGCTGCGCGCGCCGGCGGCGCAGGCGGCGGTAGCAAAGCTCGCGCGCGGCGCGGTGGCGGCGGGGCGGCCGGTGGCTGCCTCCAACCTCGCGTTGATTATGTGGGGCTTTGGGCGGCTGGGGTACAAGGACCCGGGGACCCTCCGGCTGCTGGCGGACAGGGTAGCTGAGGAGAAGCTGTACCTGCGTCCCTGGAGCGCGGCGGCGGCGCTGAGGACGCTGCAGGTGCAGCACGTGCGCCACGACGCGCTCGCGGCGGCGGCGGCGGAGGTGCGCGCGCGCGCGCGGGGGGGCGCGCTAGGGTCGTGCAGCTGTCCGGATAGGTCGGGGAATGGGAGGTGCACACGCGCACGGGCGTGCGGGCACGCCGCTGTGTGTCGAATGCAGGAGCCAGGGCGAACGCGCCCGGCGCCGTCCGGCGGCGACAATCGCCAGCTCGCCCGCGCGCCAGCGCCCGCCCAGGCCGCCGCGCCGCCTCAACAGCCCCAGAGCGCGCGCGGCAGCGGCTCCCCCGCAGCCCATATGGACGATAAGCCTCACCCGTGCTCCTCAAACATAAACACCTGCTGTTCCAATGCTGCTCGGCTCATGCCTATCACCGCAGGTAGTCCTGCACCAGGCGGGGTCGTGCCTCCCTGCGCACCTGGCAGTCATCGCTTGGGGCCTTCAGTCCCAGACCCTGCCCCCGGAAGCCGCTGAGCAGCTGCGCGCGACCATCTCGTCCGCCGCGCGGCGCCAGCTGGAGGCCTTTGGGCCCCTGGAGCTGGGGCTGCTGCTTGAGGGGCTGGAGGCGCTTGGGGGAGCCGACGGGCAGCTGCTCGCTGAAGTGGCGGACGGCATCGCCAAGGAGACCGAGGTCGTGTCGTCGCCGGCGGACGCGGCGCGCATCCTATCCGCGTTTGTCTCGGCGCGCGCAAGGGGCAGCGCCGGCGTTGGCCCAGACTCGACGGTGGCCAGGATGGCGGAGCTCCTGGCCGCCGCCGCCGCACGCGGCGTGCCCGCGTTCACACCGCCCCAGGCCGAGGC